CAAGCCATTCCGTTGGGAGTGCTTGCTTTTCCATAAAAACACACTTACATAAAACAAAAAGAAAGGGAGGTAATGTCGGGAGGAATTCGACATAATTTTGGGGGAAAATCATTTCATAATTAAAGTTAAGATTAGTCCTAGTTTTCCTGCCTATCCAGACGTAACAAAATCTTCATCTGCATAGTTCCTCACTGTTCTAGGATTATTGCTGTGTCGCTGCCCTGTGAGTCACCTTTTACATGTTATTCCTGATGTACTGAACTCAGTGCCCTGAGTTATCTGTCACATTTGCTACTCCCGAAGGTACTGAACAAAGGTGTGGCAAGCTACAGGTCTTTTGTCTTTGCTGCCCAGAGTAGCACTTATCAGCCCCAAAGTTCAGCTTCTTCTCTAAGTCTCGTTTTTTTTCTTTTCTAATAAATTAATTCACGTTATACCACTGTGTCTCAAACAGGACTAGGACTTACTGGAGAGATTCTAGCAATGTCCCCTTTCCCTGTTCCCTACACAATCAAAATACTTCATGAGCTAAATATGTGTATTTTAATACCTGTAAATTTTTTAAAAGTGTTTAATAAAAGTAAATTTAAAAGAATTTCCTTCAACAGCATCTATTTCCAAAATTTTCCAATTTTTCACCCCCCACAAAAAAATGCGTGAAAACCTTAAAATTTTTTCTTTCAATAGGGAAAATAAGAATCTACTTTTAAAAAATGAGAATCAAGACTTGCCATGTAAAGGTACATGATCCCAACAATGAATGTAACTGTACTGTATCCCTAAATGTACCAATAAACTCAATAAAAAAAAAAAAAAGAATCTACTTTTAAAATCACATGCATATACACACACTTCCCTGCATAAGTTACCTTTGGTCTTTTTCTTGAGGTTTGATATTTTAAAAGGTTGACTTTACACAGGCCAAATTATTTTGACAAATTTTACTATAAAGTATTAGGATATAAACATGATGGAGAGCAAGAAAATACTAAATTGAATACCTGATTAAAAGTAGACCTTGGTACAAACTTAATCAATATATTACTATTGAAAGTGCTAGGCCCTTAAAAAGTCAGCAACTTTCTCTGAATGACTACAAAATTATTTCAAGTAATGATGTTAAAAAATGGCACACTACTCTGCCATAAAGGGGGACAAACTTGAGTATGTAGAGGAAAATGGATGTACCTTGAGAATATAATGTTAAATAAATGAGACACACAAGCTTAAATATCCCATGGTTTCTCTTATGAGAAATAATACAAAAATAAAATACAAAATAAGATAACAGGAGAAAAAATTGGCCCTCTTAGGAAAACAGATCGTTTGCAAAAGGAGATGAGAAAAAAAGGGGATAAGAAAATAATTGAGATGCATTCTATATGTGAACCAACTCAACTCCCCACAAGGAACGTAATCATGATTTACTGCAAACTGTGCTCATAAAAACATAAAAAAGTTTAGAAAGAAAAAAATTGGCACAGAATTTCAAGCACCTCCAAAATATCTTATGCAAAATAAGCAGCACTGAAGTTACATACAGGATTATAAAATAATTCTGAACATCAACACCCTTCTTAGATCAGTAGCCATACGTATTCTACTATACTGTTTTTACTTTAATATTTGCTATAGCCACTCTAACAGAAATGTAATAGGAGCCACATATATAATTTAATTTTTCTGATAACCAGAGTAAAAACAGTAAAAAGAAACAGGTGAAATTAATATAATATATTAATGGTTCAACAGATCCAAAATATTATTTCAACATGTGGTCAACATTTTAAAAATTAATATTATACCATATTTTTGTCATATTAGATTCTCAAAATCTGGCATGTACTTTACATTTCCAGCAGTATTTACACCAGCAACAGTTGAATGCCCAAGGGCCATGTGTTTACTGGTTACTGTGATGGAGCATGGGGCTATAAACACCTCATCAGGAAGTTCATTCAGTGTCTTAACACAGTAAACCTTAATCAATCAAGAGTCTAGGAATTTCTGATAATTCTGATAATAAAGACAAAGTAAACAAAAATTTCACTTTAATATGCAAATGGTTAAAACAATGTTCTAGTTCTCTGTCCTTTGAGAAATCTACTGTTAAAATTATCTGCTCACACACACAAATCAGAAAAGGTTCTTTCATGATGTCAGCATAATTTGTTAGTGGCTAACAGTACAAACTTTGCACCAGACAGGCCTGGGTTTGCACGATAACTTTGTCACCTGCCAAATGCTCTTGATCCCACTGGTAACATGAAGCGGGACCAATGTGAGAATTAAGGGTTAGCACAGTAACTGTGCAATATTGCTAGGTATTAGAGCTCCAAATTAAGGATGAATCATTACCTTTTTCTTAGTAAAACACTTCTTCTTGCTTTCTGTTAAAGATACCTAACAGTAAGTGTTAACACTGGCAGAGCAACGGACCCACATAAAATGATGCTAACATAGGCAACCCTGAAGTTGAAGGACAGAAAACTATCATTCCTCTGCCTAGGTTGCACAGTCAATGCAAAAAAAAAAAAAGGGCACTGCGGTAGTATTTCCTGAATGGTTTGTAACAGTTCTAGGTTCAAGAGAAATCAGGTAGTTACTATTTTGAACAGAAAAGCCTTTTTATCTTCATGTTTTTGTCATATTGTTTTGCCTTGGTCATTAGCTATGAAACCCTTAGAACAAAAATCCTGTCTTTGGAGGCAGGAAGGAAAAACGGAGACTGGAGAATATACCTTAGTTTTACAAAAGACTAGAGATTTGAGGAACAGACGTAACAAAAAGGAGGAACTTGAATGTTTCTAGGAGTAGTCTTGAAGAAGGAACACCTAGAACGAAGCTTCTTCCCTGATGTGTGCTTGCATTAAGTAGCAGTAGTGCTGTATTGGCAGATTTAGTCACGGATGTAAGGTACAGCTGCTTCTAGCGTAAGCAAGCACCTTTTATCAGTTAATTTAAAAAATTTCCTTATTTGGCTGTCACCTCCACGTTTCTTAGTAATTCTGTGACATGGGAACACACCGTGTTCTAGTAGGAAAAAACAGCCTACACGTGGATGGGGTGCTAAAAATAGAAGAGGAAGATTTCAAAGTACACAGTACTAAACTCCATATCCAATAGGTCTCGATACTTATCAGTATTTTAAGGAAGTTGATTTTGTAATATTTAAGAGCAATCTGAAGAAAAAAATATAAAAGAGGCTGTTTTCCAAATATGAAGAAAAATTGGGAGACGCTATCTACAATTTATATTTTCAACCAGAAAGTCAACACAGTGATTAAAATATAATTTCTAACAATCAAAGGAAAAAATCTTTCCCAACTATAAAATTCTCATTATTTTATAAGAGCTTTGGCATTAGCAAGTAACGCTAATTTGAAGGTACTGTAGTTGGTAAACTGTCACAGATACTTTTAACAACAGAAAATGTTTAATGGAAGCTAATGCTGTGGTGGTTGAAGTTTGGTGAATTATAAGCCCTGCATTTGGTTCTTCCACCCTGAAGTCCCTTGGTAAGGCACTCTCAAACTGGGAAAAAGCAGCTTGAATTCCTAAATCTAGACCAAAGTCAATACCTAATGAGGCAAAAACTAATTTAAATTTTTCTAGTAGTCATACTAAAAAAAGGAAAAGCAGCAGATAAACGTTAATATATTTTACTGCTTACTATACAAGTTATTTCACTTTTGTTGTTGCTTTTTCTTTTGAAACAGTCTTACTATGCAGTCTAGGCTGGCCTCGAATTCCTGGCAGTGTTACTGCCTCAGCCTTCCCAGTGCTAGGGTTACAGGCTTGTGCCACCCTGTCTAGTTTCATGTGTAAACTACTGAATTGAAACAAACAGATTTTCTCAGGGTTATTACGTGCAGAGATACAGTAGGGACTCCGCAGGTATTCTTACACGTTTACCTCAAGGACTAACTTATTCTCAAGAACAACGGCTTTCACAAGACGGGATTTAACACTGAGTTCAAAAGGGAGTTTCCAAAATACATATGCCTATGTCTCTGCCCATGTACCTATCTTCTGTTGCTACTTTGCTAAAAACCTCTTAAGAGATCTCATCAAACCTGGTAAGGCGCGCTACACCTCCTCTTCAAGTCCTGCACTGCTTGCGGAACAGGGACGCTCCTGCTTCTAACAAAGCGCAGAAGATTCGAGCCCATTTCACCTCCCCCGACGTGGTCCCCCCCACCAGTCTACCAAGTGCTGCCCACACCTCGCAAGGCGGGCCCCGGATCGGCCCTTCCCGGCCCCGGCCCAGCCCTGCCCTACCTG